TGGGTCTACTTGTTGCAAATGAAGAGTGATGTTGCTACTGTACTAAAGATGTTTCTCCCATTAATAAAGACTCAGTTTTCTATTGTTATTAAGATGGTTAGAACTGACAATAGAACAGAATTTTTTAATAAAGTATGTACTGACTTGTTCAATTCTTATGGTATAATACATCAAAGCAGTAGTGTGTATACCCCTCAGCAGAATGGGATAACTGAGAGGAAACACAGGCACATTTTAGACATTGCTCGAGCATTGAAGTTTCAAGCTCAAGTTCCCACTAGATACCGGGGAGAATGTGTAGAGGGGGTTGTCTACTTGATCAATAGGCTGCCTACTAAAGTTATACAAGGCAAATCACCCCATGAATTGTTGCATGGAAAGCCATCATCCCTTGATCATTTGCGAGTGTTTGGATGTCTTTGCTATGCCACCACTGTTGTTAGAGATGACAAGTTTGGTGCGAGGGCAAGAGCAACAGTTTTCTTAGGATACTCTACTACTCAAAAGGGTTACAAACTCTTGGATCTCAGCAACAACAGATTTTTTGTGAGCCGTGATGTTGTTTTCAAAGAACACATATTTCCATTTGCTAAGTCCTCTGAAGCTCACTCTCACTTATTTTTTCCCGATTCTTGTCCTGTCTTTGATATAGCCCCTGAGAGGGGGAGATCTCTTGATACTCAGGTAGCTCATCAACAGAACAACCAACCTATAAATCAACAAATTCATGGGCATCAAGATGTGCACAATGCAGATGCAACAAATGCAGATTCCAGTGAAGATGCAACAAATACAGACTCAAATGTAGATGTAACAAATGTAGATCCCAGTTCACCTGTAGATATTGATACACTTCCTAATCAAGCTGATGTTGATCCTGTTCAACACTTTGACAATGTTGAGGTTGAAGAAATGGCTGAAATGTTTGATAGTGTATCAGCAGCTGATAATGAAGGAGATGGAGTTCCTGATGCTAATTTAACAGACACTAACCTAAGGAGGTCTGGGGGAACTACTAAAGCACCACTATGGCTTGAAGACTATGTTACAACATAAAAACAGAAGGACATTATGTATCCACTATCAAACTATATTTTTTTATCACAAGTCGTCTACACAAGGCAGGAAGTTAGTAGCAAATATTTCAGCAGTCATAGAACCACAAACATTTCAAGAAGCTTCAAAGGATGAGAGGTGAACAGAAGCTATGAAGCTGGAGATTAAAGCTCTAGAAGACAACAATACATGGGAGATATTTGATCTTCCTAAAGGCAAGAATTAATTGGATCAAAATGGGTATACTAGATAAAATACAAAGCTGATGGTGAAATTCAGAGGTTCAAAGCAAGACTGGTCGCAAAAGGTTACAGCCAAAAAGAGGGGTTGGACTATCATGAAACATTCTCACCACTCACTAAAATAGTGACAGTCGGGTCTGTCATTGCATTGGCAGCCTCAAAGAACTGGAACATTTTCCAAACAGATGTGTATAACGCCTTTTTACAGGGAGACTTGTTTGAGGAAGTTTATATGAAGCTTCCTCAAGGCTTCAGGAGACAGGGGGAGACAAAGGTATGCAAACTAGTGAAATCCTTGTATGGTCTGAAGCAAGCTTCAAGACAGTGGAACATCAAACTGTTAGAGGCTTTGGTTGATGCAGGCCACTGTCAAAGCTTACATGACTATTCTATGTTCACTAAGAAAGGAAAAGGTGACATAGTGGTGGTGTTAGTATATGTAGATGATCTTTTGATCACAGGAAGCAGTGATAGCCTGATTCAACAGACCAAAAGGGTATTGCATCAGAAGTTTAAGGTGAAAGATCTTAGAGAATTGAAGTTCTTTCTTGAGATAGAAGTGCTGAGATCACACAAGGGAATCCTGTTGAACCAAAGAAAATATGCATTGCAGCTGATATCAGACTTAGGACTGGGAGGAGCCAAACAAGTCTCAACACCTTTAGACACAAATCAGAAGTTCACTTCAATAGAGCATGACAAACATTTAGGTGTTTCAGGGGATGAGCCATTAGAAGATGTGACAGCCTACCAAAGACTAATAGGGAGGCTGTTGTACTTAACACTCACAAGACCAGACATAAGTTTTGCAGTGCAAACACTGACTCAATTCATGCAAACTCCAAAGAAGTCACACTGGGATGCAGCATTAAGAATTGTGAAATATGTAAAACTAGAACCAGGAATAGGCATAATGATGAATAGTGGAGCAGTAGATAGTCTTACTTGTTTCTGTGATGCAGATTGGGCAGCATGTCCCGACACTAGGAGGTCAGTCATAGATTTATTGGTTAAATTTGGGGACTCCCTGATATCTTGTAAGTCAAAGAAACAACAATGTCGAGGAGCTCAGTTAAAGCAGAGTACAGAAGTTTAGCTACAGCAACTTCAGAGGTAGTGTGGCTTTTAGGGGTATTTGCAGAACTGGAGCGCAGATCAAACAGCCTGTAGACATGTTTTGTGATAGCAAGGCAGCACTTCAAATTGTAGCAAATCCTATTTTTCATGAACGAAATAAGCACATAGAGATTGATTGTCACTTTATAAGAGATAAGATCAAGGAAGGCAAGCTGAAAACACATTATGTGAGGACTAAAGAACAACCGACAGACTTGCTGACAAAAGGACTTGGGAGAGTTATGCATGTATACTTGTTAGGCAAGCTAGGAGTGCTCAACATTTTACACCCTCCAGCTTGAGGGGGAGTATTGAGAATACGTAGTTAGTCTAATACAACTTAGTAGCTAATTGAGCAATTAAGTTGTTAGTAGTTAGTTAAGTTGTTAGCGCTCAGTTGACAGCTGGATGTGAGCTGTTCATTAGTGGATTATTAGGAAGTTAGGGTTTAATTATAAATAGCACCGTACAGTGTATTTTGACACATTCAATACAACAACAAGCTTCCTTCTCAAATATCTTCTCTATTCTCCATGGATGAGCTGAGAGATAGAGCTTCATACAGTGAGGAATTTGACAAAGAAGCACTAGGACAATTATATCTGATATTATGTTTACGCTGAAAAACTGTATTGTGCAGTGGCATAGCCACATACAAGGAAGAATGGTCAGTTGAACATCCTTCATCGAAAAATTATATTGTGTATATTAAACATTATTTGCGTATATAAAAAATTAATTACGTATAAAAATTAAATATTTTATAGCAAAATTCATGGCATCGCCACTGATTGTCGTGGACTTACCCAATTAGGCCAACTGCAATAGTACTTGAGCAAACACTATTTCTTTTTTCGATTTTCCTATTTTCGGGTATTGAGAATTTCATCAAATAACATTCTTAAAAAAGAACTACATAAACCTTGGCAGGAAATTGTATGTTCCATAAGCTTATCCTTTCACTTCAATACAACAAAATCAAATATTGCAGCTGGCAAGATTTGAACTGAATAAATGTATGTTCGAATGCACTATAATTGGGGATTTCTTCTTGCTAGTTCCATAAGCTTATCCTTTCACTTCAATACAACAAAATCAAATATTGCAGCTGGCAAGATTTGCTACTCTAATTGCACAAATGCACTGGCTGTAGGATAAGTTGGACATTTGTGATAGTTACCACCCACAGAGAGTAAGGAGTTTAGAATATAAAAATCAAAACATTTATATCTTTTTCTTATTTGACATTAATTAATCCTTTATGATTTTCTAGTTTGTATATTTAAAAATTACATGCGAAATAATATTAATGATAATTTAATTAAAAATATGTACTAAATTGTAAGAGATCGTAGTCAATAACAACAAAGTGTTCAAAAGGAGATTACTATAAGAAGATTATCTCAACAATTCCTTGTTTAATACGTTACCATCAATATATAATAATCATTAATACACACGTCAACATCAGGATCAATAGTCCTAATTCGATTTTATCCCCACACGCTTCCTTTTTTAATTCTTGAACATTCTTTTTCATTTACCTCCTAATTTTGCTTCATCATAAAGATTCAGGTATATTAACTGCGTTGATAAAGAAACAAAATTGGTACTACTTACATTAGTTTCGGCCTGAAGCAATCTAATCCCTCCAACAAATAATTGACACGATTGCAGTACTATTTCAATGAGCGTTAAATTAAATATTTGAAGAATCTGATGTCATCCTATATGAATCTGTGATTACTAATCCTCCTCGAACGACCAATTACTCAATGCAAATTACAGACATCATGCGAATTGCGAGTGCTACTCTTAGGACATGTTTGTTATTAAACTGGAAGACATATTTTGAAGGAAAATAAGAATTAAAGACTAATAATAAATGTTGGCAGATTAACTGAATCGTATGTTATGATGAAATTTTTTAGTATTAATTAAAGTTTGGTAATAGAACTTAAGCTTTGATTGAAGCAACCAATATGAAATTTAAGTAAAGGAAGTCGTTTTCCTCGAGTTAATATATATATATTTTTTTTTTTTTTGGAGAACATTGTACAAGTTTGAGCTTAAACATGACGTTAGCAAATTCTCTCTCACACATTACTCTTAATTTTCACGAGTAGCTGCTCCACTCAAATCAGGCTAGATCAATCAAAAATGAGTATCATAAGAAGAAGAACGACTCCTTTTTATATGTGCAAAATTGTTTTGCAGAGTAATAATATATTATTGTATACATAAATATGCATTTGAAAACGCTGGATCGTGCATAGTCACTACCATAAGTAGGTTTAGTGGGATTATTAGTAGATAAGTAAAGTGGATTAGGATAAGTGGGGGCAAAATTTACGGAAAAATTAAGGTCACTACTCACTAGCGTTACCGTAATATCCCCAAACAAAGAAAATTACTGTTGCTCTTGTTAATTTTGTGGATAACGTTGCATGCATGGGATGCATACAGCCACAAAAAGAGCTATGATCACTCGACCTTTTTTCTTTTTTTATCTATTTGTTCTCAGTATGAAACTGAAAACAGGAAAATTTGCTCATCCATTGTTGGTATTTAAGAATTAGATGGTTGTCCTATAGTATTTGATAGATAATTGTTTATGCATACAAGTTGCAAGTGATACGTACTTTCAATATAAACTGAGGTTTCAAAAAATCCATATCCAAAAACATGATCCCCTGCCTGAAATTCACCGATTTAATTAGTCTCCCTTTGCCATTTGCCTTGTTTTAGCTTTTCAGTTGCATTCTCAGCTTGTTTTAATCTCCTTTATGATCTTCTATTTCGAGCATTAATCAGCTAGATGGCGAATACAGAGACAATAAGAACGATAGTTGGAATTATTGGTCTGTATCTTACGTACTATCCAATATTCATCATACAGATTTATAAGTTATATATATATCAACTGCTTAACATTTTTTTTCATGGATAATTCATGCAGGAAATGTTATATCTTTCTTCCTCTTCCTATCCCCTGTGTAAGTCCTCTGGAATAATGTACATTATGAATTTTTGATTAATAAAGTATATATCTTTGGTCCTGAATCATTGGTGAATTTAGCTGTATTTTTTTTTTTTTGGTAGGCCAACGTTCATTAAAATATGGAAATTAAAGACGGTGATGCAATTTAGACCAGATCCTTATGTTGCTACTGTTCTAAATTGTGCAGTGTGGATATTTTATGGAATGCCCTTTGTTCATCCAGATAGCCTACTGGTCATCACCATTAACGGCATCGGTCTTGTTATAGAATTAATTTATGTCTCAATCTTCTTTATCTATTCCGAATGGCCAAAACGTGTACGTATTTTATTATATACACTTTTAATTACTTAATTATCCAAATTAATTTGAACTAACATATGTGTATTTTTTTTAATAACTGAATATCAGCGGAGGATTATAATTGCTTTGATAATTGAAGTAATATTTGTGGCGATTGTCGTTTTCGTGACGCTTACGTTCCTCCATGATACCAAGTCCAGATCCATGCTTGTTGGAATATTAGCTATCATTTTCAATATTCTTATGTACACTTCGCCCCTTACCGTCATGGTATTAATTTATCCACTGGAATCCTTCTTCTTCTTTTTTCCCATTCAAATTTTAATTTGACATATGTATGCACTAATTAACGTTTGCTGTTTTCTTTTAGCATCGAGTCATCAGCACCAAGAGTGTGAAATACATGCCATTTTTTCTGTCACTTGCAAATTTTGCCAATGGATGTATTTGGTTCGCCTATGCATTCCTCAAATTTGATATCTACATCTTGGTAATTAGATTCCTTTTATTATTCGTCGATCCTGAATATATTGATAATTCATGTACATTACTAGTTTACTACATAATCTAAAGCTTGATAATAGCATTTTGAATCTGTAATGTTTGAAAACAATAGGTACCTAATGGTCTGGGAGCGTTATCTGGAGCAATTCAGCTCATCCTTTATGCAACATATTATCGCTCCACCAACTGGGACGATGATGGAAAGTCAAGTGAAATTGAACTTCCAGGGAACACCACACCCTAATTTAGTTCAATTTAGGATTTAAGTTAGATTTACCGATAGTGTAACAACAACAACATATCCAGTAAAATCCCACTAGTGGGGTCTGGGAAGAGTAGAGTGTACGCAGACCTTACCCCTACCCCGAAAAGGGATTTACCGATAGTGTAAGGAATTTTTAATTATTATCAGTACAATTAGCGTATTATAGCAGGTTGCTTACTACTTTTCTAGGCTACCAGTCAATTATCAGAGAGAGTTCATTATCTCCGTGTAAATGCAGTTTCAGCGGCTTGATTGTGTAAATAATTTATGCTTTTAGCTTCTTGTTTTGTTTCTACACATTAGGAATTGTGCTATCAAAGTAGAAAACTCTTTTCTTTTTAATAACTGATGAAACAATAGTTATCTTTCCGTGTAATTCTTGTGCATCGAAAATCTTTTTATCTGATGTCCCTGAAGGGGACGTATACTGTTGATCTGCATTAATTAGTAGTTTTGAGATTTATTACAAGGAGGAATCATGGCAGCCCAATTGGTTAGATACTTGAACTTTCACCAGTTGTTGGGGGTTCGATTCCTCACGTCGTTACCCCCTTCTCTATTTCCCTTTCCCATTCCCCATATATAGCAAAAAAATCCTGGAAAGTACAACTAGGCTACTGTTAGACCCTTGACAAAGTTGATCGGCAAATGGCCCGGCAGTGGCAAGGATTCGGCATGATGGCCTTGCCATTGGCCTATGTGCGGGGGAAATCAACATGTAAGAAGATGCGAGCGTTGTCAATGGCAACAAACTGTTGCAAGGCTAAGCGTGACGGACTACACTACTGGTGTGACGGACTACACTAAAGCACGAGTGGGCTGTGTGCAAGCAAAGGCCAAGGTCTTGAATGAACAAGGCGAGCTGGATGGAAGCTTGACAAAGCAATGCGGGAAAGACCTAGGCGCTAAGACGAGGCGGATTAGCAGTGTCAAAGGGCAAGGCTAAGCGCAATGCCAGCCTTGGGCGTGCAGCAGCTGGCCAGAAACACGCACATGCAGCGCACATGGAGTTGTGCGCATGCTGTGCAGTTGGGCGATTACAACTGCCTTGTCCAAAGAGTGGCTGATAATGGGGCTAAGTGTATGCACGTTTTTAGGCATGTTAGATCATGACATGCACGTTTTTTTTTATCATGGGTGATCATGGCCTATCAATTGGGGGTGTCAACTGAAATAGGAAAACTGAAATGGGTTGTCTACACTATAAATATGTGTGTTAGCAGCCCAAAAACGTTTAAGTACCTAGGGAGGAAAAATAGGCAAGATGTAGGCATAGGGTTGTCTATGTCATGGCTTGAGCATGGCAAATTTTGTGCCATCCTTGCCAAAATCACTGAGCAGCACGAAATGTCTTAGGCAAGGGCTTTTATAAGGCAGATGGTGCAAGAGTCTGCAATTTTGTGAGTTGGTGTCTGTTAAGGATGGCAGCACCTTGCCAAACTCGAGATTTTCCTTTGTAATTTATCTATTATAAAATGTTGGGAAGGGTCCCCGTAATTCTACTTGTGCCTTTACTTATTTTATGATACCTTGAAATTATTCTAAGTGTTAAACCTCGAAAGCGAAAGAAATTGAGGTGAAGGCTGAGCCAAGTTGGAACTTGACTGCCGCACAGCGGGCAGGTTCTCGGCGAACAGAAAACGCCCCTGTGACAACTGGTACAGAGCGGGAGCAAGTTCATGACGAGGGCGAGACGGCCATGGACAAGACGGCAAGACAAGGGGTCAGTGTGCTTGTTCGTGGAAGGGACTGTCCGTGTTTAGAAAATTCAGAATAGGCAAGGAAGGCAGTGATGCAAGATTTCAAGTTGAGGGGAGCCAAAATCAGTGGTGGGTTCTTTCAAATCAAGTCAGTTGCATGCTAGATTTGCTGTGGAAATGACGGGCAGGAAGGGCAAATGAGAAAAACGCTGCACTTGATGGCAAGGACAACGTAATTCTCAAAAGGGTGCTAAATTTGTGATGTCTTTGCAAATGGCGAGCATATATGTGTTGAGAATTATTCGACGAGGGCACCGAATTCAACTGGTTGGGGTGGTTTGTTAGACCCTTGACAAAGCTGATCGGTAAATGGCGCGGCAGTGGCAAGGATTTGGCATGATAGCCTTGCCATTGGCCTATGTGCGGGGGAAATCAATATGCAAGACAATGCGGGCGTTGTCAACGGCAACAAACTGTTGCAAGGCTAAGTGTGGCGGACTACACTACTATTGGAAGGCTAAGGTATGACGGACTATACTAAAGCACGAGTGGGCTGTGTGCAAGCAAAGGTCAAGGTCTTGAAGGAACAAGGCGGACTGATTGGAAGCTTGACAAAGCAATGCGTGAAAGACCTAGGCGCTAAGACGAGGCGGCTTAGTGCCAAGGCAGTGGCATTGGCAACACGGTGTTTCCTTGGCTTAGGTGAGTGGCTGGCACCTAAGGAATTTGTGGGCAAACGACTTAGCAAGGGAACTGGCATCATGGCTTGGTGATTTGATGCTAATATCAGCTTGGCATTGGCAAAGGCAGACTTGATCAAGTAGGGGCGACTTGACATGAACAAGCGGTTGTGGCAGCGAGCGTGCGTGCGACTAAGTCATGGGCGACAAGCTATGGCTATGGCATTGGTTGCAGAGCAGTGTCAAAGGGCAAGGCTGGGCGCAATGCCAGCCTTGGGCGTGCAGCAGCTGGCCAGAAACACGCACATGCAGCGCACATGGAGCGGTTATCAAGTGTGTTGTGCACATGCTGTGCAGTTGGGCGGTTACAACTGCCTTGTCCAAAGAGTGGCTGATAATGGGGCTAAGTGTATGCACGTTTTTAGGCATGTTAGATCATGACATGCACGTTTTTTATCATGGGTGATCATGGCCTATCAGTTGGGGGTGTCAACTGAAATAGGAAAACTGAAAATGGGTTGACTACACTAAATATGTGTATTAGCAGCCCCAAAAACGTCTAAGTACCTAGGGAGGGAAAATAGGCAAGATGTAGGCATAGGGTTGTCTATGTCAAGGCTTGAGCATGGCAAATTATGTGCCATTGCCTTGCCAAAATCAGTGAGCAGCACGAAATGTCTTAGGCAGAGACTTTTATAAGGCAGATGGTGCAAGAGTCGATAATTTTGTGAGTTGGTGTCTGTCAAGGGTGGCAGCACCTTGCCAAACTCAAGATTTTCCTTTGTAATTCATTTATTATAAAAGGTTTGGAAGGGGTTCCCGTAATTCTGCTTGTGCCTTTACTTATTTTATGATGCCTTGAAATTATTCTAAGTGCTAAACCTCGAAAGCGAAAGAAATTGGGGTGAAGGCTGAGCCAAGTTGGGACTTGACTGCCGCATAGCGGGCAGGTTTTCGGCGGACAGAAAACGCCCCTGTGACAGCTACCATGTTATTGACTCCCAACTGAAAAAAGAAAACAGAAAAAAAAAAGAAAAAAAAAAAGAAGAAGAAGAAGAAGAAAAAGATAACAAGGCAGAAATCAGTTGTCAAATTCCAACTATTTCCAGACTACCAGTTAAGATTCATTTGTTCAAAAGACAATAGGAGTAAATACAGATATTTTTATTAGCATGCTTCGCACATTTCATTTTAGCCTCAATGTTTATGACTACTACTGTTATATAAATAAATGTATTGACATAGAAGAAAGCAGTGTCAATTCCATCACCCAACCTACAGAAGCCAAATTGATGACATATTTGAAAATTTCCCAGAAATAAAAAAAGAAAAGAAACAATGGATATATTATAAGGAAAAAGAAAAAAGGGAAGAAAACAAATGGAAAAGAAGACATGAATGTATAAGCTTTACATCAACCAAGAGAATGCATGTACACAGCTTCCCAATAGAACCGCGAAAATATTCTGGCTCTGCAAGTTCACTTCGTCAAATATTTGGAAATTGAGATAGAATTTACCTACTTCTGCATGTCTTCTTGAGCTACAAGCTTCAAGGCCCACGATACTTTCGGAAACACAAACAACCCTGTTGTTGATCAGCGGGAATCATTCCTCCGCCTTTTGATGTATCAATAGCCTCTATCATGGATACTACCTCGTCCATCTCAGGCCGCTTGTCAGGGTTAGCGTCCCAACATCTCTTCATTACATTAGCAAGGGAACTTGGGCAACACCTTGGTATTTCTGGCCTTAGATTCTGTGTGGCACAACAGAATCCACAGTTAATCAAGGGAGCATAGGCAGAAGATCAAGAAGTGACCAATAACTATACATTCTTCTCTATCTGTCTTCTTCATATATCATTACTTATATCCAGGAAGTGCTAAAAAGCTGGAGGTTTTACCTGGCAAACCACAGCTGAAGTTACTTCTGAGAAGCTGAGATTAGAATATGGCATGTCACAGCAATAGATTTCCCACACACATATGCCAAAACTGTAAACATCGCATTTTCTATTGTATGGATTGCCATTGAGAACCTGTAGTTTCAGCATTCAACAATTTAGCAACAGCGGATGTAAAGTACAACAACTCTTTCATTTGCAACATTTTCATTCTTGCACATTTTCTTTCCCTGCATTTTAAAAAGTTTATCCAACACTTTCACTAATTCACTTGATTTTGGGGGTTAAAATCCCTACATTCACGTGACTCTTCCTCCGGGTTAGAAAAAGATGGGGATTGCAATAGGAAAAGATATAGCATATTTCGAAAAATCAACAACGAACATTGTGTTCTGTAGTAAGTTATACAGATCAAGGCTCATAGCATGTGTCTCTTGCACACTTATGCATTGTACACAAGTTGACGAATGAATCTTGGCGAAAAATAAGGGAACACTATGCAAGCAAGAATACCAAGAAAAAGCTTTATATATGCTGAATCTGCTTAATCCAACAAAAGAACAGAATGAGCAGACAGATTACTGACATGAATGAAAGACATTCATGGAGAGGTGAATCCTACTCCACTTCTGAATTACCTCAGGAGCCATATATCCAAGGGTTCCAGTCTCCCCAGTCATGTCATTTGGATTAGAGGCCTCAACGCGAGCAACCCCAAAATCTGCAATTTTTACTGTACGTGTCTTATCCAATAGCATATTCTCTGTCTTGACATCTCTATGCACAATCTTCTCAGAGTGAAGGTAACTTAACCTAAAAAAGTTCAAATGATTGACCTCAGTTCAGGTAAATGATAAATCGTATATATAATTCAGAGGGGTTTCAAATACATGAGAAAAAGTCAGAGCTCCGATTTACCCTCTGGCCATATCAAGTGCAATCTGCACAACTACTTTGAATGCTAGCTTCCTTCTTCTGTTCTTGATAAGGTAAGATTTTAATGCACCGCCCGGAAGGTACTCCACTATGACGCAGCATATGTT